TTTTATTGAATTGTTAATAAATAATTTTGTAATGAATTTTTAATGAATTGTTAATAAATTATTGCCAGATTGTTAATGAATTATTTGATGAATTGTTAATAAAATTTTTGACAAATTGTTAATATACCGATTTTTTTTATTGTCAAATTTTTGATTGCTGAATATGTTGAGGGTAGCAATCAAAAAGAATTTGGTAATATTTTTATTATTAAATTTGACAATAATTCAGTTGCTGAATAACACAATTTTAACTAATGTATAAAATGAAATATTGATTCTAAGATTAAACTTAGAGGCTATTATTGCTTACAATAAGTTAATTAGATCTGATAGATATTTAGTTATAGTATATATTATACTGCTTGAATATAAATATAATTATTTTTTCAATTGATTAATAAACTACAATCTAATCTTACTGTAAATACTTAAAAAAAAATATAAATTCAACTTCTAATGTATATATATTTTCATATTATTAATCTCAACTTTTAATGGGTTTTAGCATTTGTATATAATATTAAATATCAAGTTAGAACTAAGAAGAATATCAAAACAAGCTTATTATTAAATTTTTATTTAATTTTGTTTTACTATATATAATAAAAAAAAATATTTGTTTTTATTATTTATGCTAAAATTTATTTATTAGTAAGAAAAATTATATCAAATAATTAAATTGAGCAAAGATTCTTCAACTTTGAACAAAAGAAAATTGAAAGAATAATTATTTAACCTGATTAATACAGACTTGAAAGATAAACTTTATAATTATCAATTATAGTATAGGGATGTGTGTAAAATAGATACTGTATACAACACATTTAATTCAAACTACATCTCATATAGATGGCGCAGAGTATGAGAATATTGTTTTTACCCAATACATTTAATGATTAAAATAGAAATATTAAAAGAAGATAACACACCAATTTACGAGTGTAAACTTGTGAAATCTGAACTTGAAATTGTGACCATGGAATGGCACCATAATCGCCGGATCTTAGTTCAATCGAGAATGTGCGAAGAGATGTCGAGGCATGAATTTAGAGGAAGCTGTTACTGCGGCATGGAATAATATTGGATTTTTAAAATTCTTCATTATTGATTCAACGCCAGAACGGATAAATGAAGTGATAAAAAATAGATAATGCTTTTCAATTACAATACGGTAAATACGATAAAAAATTTAAACTAGATAAAGCATGTAAACTACGTCTTTGAAGAGTTATTTGTTTCAAAAATTTTATCAACAACACGGATAACAAATTTATCCCACTCATTACAACTTGGATGACATTATAAACAGTGCATTCGATTTATTGAGTGTCATAAAATAGATTATTTTTTTTTTTTACTCTTCATAATTTTCATACATCGTTTTCATAAGTTAAAAACTTATTCGATTCGATTCTTTCATAGACGGAAATTGAAGGAAAAAAGAGAGAATATAGAAAAAAAAAAAAAGAAAAAGAAATTATGTATATATATGTAAGTATAAACAACAGGCGCAGTGACCTAAAAATTAAAGAATTAGACCATGACTAAAAGGTGATTCATCCGAAAAATTTCCATTATCGTATTCATTCATCATGTAGCTAGGAATAACACTCGTTGGCGGTGATGTTTCTGAATAATTAGCAGCCATCTTCGATTCAACTGTAGATACCAAAGTAGATATCTCGTTATATGAATTCATATTATATAAGTATGTGTGTTCGAAATTGTCGTTTGTTTCGTAAGTGAATTTGTCGTCATTAGCGACAAATTCGGCTGTTGAAACGGCATCGTATAAAAGAGTGTCCGCGAATGGTACGCCATCAATATTGCTATTGATATTGATATGAAAATTTTCATTTTTGCTACTCGTATTTTCGGTAACCGGTGTGCTGCCGATTACTGTGGTGGCGAGTATGAGATTTTGAAAGGTGTCGTATTCTCCGACTATTAATGGATTGTCATTTACGTTTGCTGACAAGTTATTGTTGGCGTTGGGGAATTCAATTTCATTGGATGAGAAAAGGAATTCCTTAACATATAATGATCCAGCCGGTGGAGAGACTGGTGAACAATCGGAGGAAATTGAAAAAGTAGGAGTAGATTGTGGTGAAGATGATGACGAGTAGTAGTGTGGTGACGATGAAACAATAGAATTATCTAGCGTTGCTGGTTCCTCGAGTTGTGCTGACTGAATAATTCCATTCGCAACCATAGTTTTGACGCCATTATGGAAGATCCAATCTTTATTGCTTAACATTTCTTTCGGTTTCTTCTTAGGCGTGTATTTGTAATTTGGGTATATCGCTTTGTGGTATTCGTGCGCAAGTCTAGAAAGAATTTCAAAGTATCTCTTGACCTGCGGTGGTTGATTCCTCCAAACTTCACCAGCATCGGTGGAGACAGTCTTCATTTTTAGCGCCTTTTCCGGAAATCGTAAACGTTGGCTAGCCTCGTAATCTTTTCGGAATAGAACCCAAGCATTTTGCGGTCTTGGAATTTTGTTTTCCGATTTCGCTTTATTCTTACGATTTTTTCTCGCTGGAGAAAGGAGTACTTCAAGACGTAAAGTAAGTTGATAAGGTGGACTTCGAAGTAACGTACGTTCCTCTTCGGTAAATCGCTGATCTTGAAAAATCAATGTTCCATTGGGTTGAGCGAGCAAACACGAATTGATAGGTTTAGGAGGCAGCAAGGTGTGGGTCGTGGGTACAGATGGTACAGACTGGAGAGGTGGATAAGTGGTAATGGTGGAGTTAACGTTAGTATTAATGGTGATGGGTTTTTTATCAGACTTGACTTTCGGCATCTTTCTAATAACTATTAAGTCTTAATGCAAATTTCTTTCTTTTGAGGCAAGGGAATCTAAATTGCAGGAATATCCGAAATCCGTTCATTTATATAACCTTTTCGTCTCACCTTCCTAGGAATTTTCTCAAGAAATGATCTTTTGATGATTTCTTGAGGATTGTTTTTAGTTCTTTCTTAATTTAGACGAAAGGTGAGGTCGAAATGATGAGAAGTAGTTCCAATGCGATCAAATGCAACCTTGGAAATTAACATCAAATGAAGGGTGTCAAAAATAGCTTATTATTTATGTACTTCGTATGCACAAGGGTCGATGTGTTAAGAACCTTTTGCAATTATTGATTTCAATTAAACAATGGACTAAGGAGCGGCTGTGAAGTGTTTCGTAGATGATGTTTCCACGATTTTATCATTTATTGCATGTAATTTTTTTGATTAAATCAACCATAAACCCTGGATCTCGGCATTATCGTCGTTATCAGGCAAATAATTGCCGCTTGATCTCTAATTCGGCTGCTTCCTTTTATAAAATTTGTTGGGGTTGTTAAATAACTTGCTCGGTTTCTGAGTTTAACTTAATCTAATTAGTACTTTTTTTACGCACATGTTACTGAGAAATGTTAATTTTATATATTTCTTCAAATCAAGTTAACTATTTCTTGTATATAAAATAACTTCTTTAATTTTTATTCTAATTTCGTATTTAAAGTCAAAATCATTTTTATTTTATTGTAATTATTAGTTTATACCAATTAAATTTTCAAATTATTTGATTTTAACCATATAAAGTAAACTATAATTTTTTTTTCAAATATTGTAGTTAGTTATGAACAATGATTTTATAAATTGAATTATATTAACATAAGATTAATATAACTTTATGTCTAGTGAAAAGCAAATTAATATATTTCAATCGGTTTCTTATTTTATTTAAATTAATATTATTTTTATAATATCTATTATAGTAAACTTATAAAATATTTATATAAAGTCTTAAATATTATTTTATTTTTTCAAACTAATGATAACAATAAATTGGATTAAATTAAATTTTAAATAAAATCAATTTGAATTTGATTGAAATATTTTTTATTTAATTTATATTTGAATTCAAATAGATCAATTATTGTATTCAGTTTATATTTAACAAATATTCAATAACCATCCAATTAATTAATTTTTTAATACTTGATTTTTTTTTTTTTAAACTTGTTTTTAAATATCAAATTTTTTTATAATTTAAAGAAATTATTTATAGTTAATATTTTTAAAAAATTTATTATTATTATTAATAATTATTTTCTCTAAACTAAAATAAGTAATATTATTAGAATCACTATTTCTATTCTGATTTTTTTAATTATTTCTTAAATATTTATAAAATATATAAATTCTATTTCAATTATTCATATAAAATAATATTTACACTTTCCACTAATCCTCTAATCAAATACAAAAAAAGATATTTACAAAAAGTTTCATACTTCTTTGCAAACAAAGTCTTAATACTTTCCTTAAATCAACTTGAAGGTTATCTTCAGAAATTACTTCACTCCTATCTCTTATTTACAATTACTTTTAAACAAACTGAACTTTTGTGATCTATAAAGTTCAGTTCCTACCTTTACTACTAATGACAAAAAAGTTCTTAAAAAGAGAAAGATCACTAGTGAAGTACCTGTTATCACTCTTTTGAAATGGAGAAATAAAATATGATAAAGGTTTTTTTCTAATTAAAAAACTTAATTTTTCTTCTTTAACTAGCTATATAATTTCTAAAAGCTATCATTTCACAGTTTTTTAAAAAATTTTGCTTATATCAGCTTGACCCTGAATTTTTGGGTGGCATAAATCCCACTGATTCTGATTGGTTGACATGAAACATATTAGACAAGATTAATAAACAAATTTTTATTGATCACTCTATGTATCTGAATGCATTTCTTTAGCCTATAAGAATTCAAAGTTTATCATAAGTCATTCGTGTCTGATATAGATGAATATAGAACATAAAATTACCATATCTTTAGATACAAGAAAAAGTTCATTTAATTTAGACCATTTATTCAACTATAATAAAAGAAGAAAGACTCACTTGCATCAGTCGAAATTATGTCATTCGGCTGCTGAATTATTGCAAATTTGGCAAAATTTAATAATAAAAATATTGACGAATTATTTACGATTGCTGCCACTCGGCATTAAAAATATCGG